ATGGACAAATATAATGAAATATGGGACTCATTTATACAAAATACACTGGGTTAAAAAAAAAAAAAACAGGATAGTCTTATAACTCTATTAGAAATATATATGTACTTGAGTAATATTTGTATTAGATAAGCATAGAGTTGTAACTATTATTATAATGATATATTAACTTTTTTTGTTGTACTTTTTCACTTTTATGTTAAAGCACTTTTATGCATTTTTCCCTTTTTGTAGTAAAAAATAAATAATAATAAAGACTCATATAGCAACAGATTTCTACTGATATGGAAATGATGGCTGAGATAGTATGATTATTCAGTCTAAGGATATGAATATTCTATTTCTTCTATAGTTAATAAAAGTTTGACAATTTATTTTATGGAGTGCTAACATCACATGTAACAGTATTTTATTTGATATAAATGAATAGATTTTAAATTAACGTCAAACAAAATCCAACAACTGCCAACAAATCCGTTTAAAATATATCCATATCACGTTACAATAAAAGCAGCAACAATAATTAATTATTTTATATTACCAAACAGTAAAAAGTTTAGCTATCTTCTAAAACAATTTACCTTATTTTCAGTGTAGCAATTGAATGGTTGGAGATGATTCTTACAAAGTATGAACAATTTATACAATGATTATTAGCAGACTTGTGTCCCACTTTTTATTTGAATCCTCAAATTCACTGATAAGATTCATAAAGGACATGGGGTCCCTCCCATTTTTCTGGCACAGCCACCACTGCATCCAAGGCTGATGGCTGATGCCAATCAGAACAAAAAGGGGAAGGCATTTTTTAAAAAACAAAACCATGCAATTCCATTTTCTTTCCTTGCAATATTAACATTTTTGTTATTAAGAGTGTTTTTATATTGTTTTTTAATTGATTTTATCTCTGCTGTAAACCACCTAGAGTCGTTTCAATGAGATGGGCGGTGACAAATTTGATATATAAATAAAATAAATATAAATAAACGTATTTGAGAATCCATTTGAGAAATACTGGAGCTTTAGCTCCTATAGAATGACCCAGTCTTGGAATTGCAAAAAAGAGCAAAATATCATGCCACTGAAATGGATGACTTCTGACCACAGATTTCTCTCTTGGAAAAGGCCTTCCATAGTATCCAGTGCTCCCCCAGTTCCCCCAACCCCTCTCCCCTTAAGACTTCTCCCTAAAGCCATATACTTAAAACAATCTGCTGCCGGTTGTTATTTGTGGACTGCTATCATATTCAGCAATAAGTTATTCAGAGGCCATGCTACTGAGAAGAAAAATCACTTGGCATCCTAGCTGATTTACAATCTGCTACACAGACGTTAATCATCTAACTTTTAATAAAATACATAATTCCCTTTTCAAGAAGCACCACTAAATATATGCTATCATTCTCAAACATGAAACACAATCTAATCAGCCTAAGTAGCAGGATATAACATTCACCACTTCAGGAACAGAGAACTCTTAAAAAAAACAACAACCCATCTGGATGATACTCCTGAACTGAAAGCACAAGCCATTATACAAAACATTATATAAAAGTTAAATATAAATGTAACTAATACGTATCAGCATTCTGCCTAATTCCTTGCACGTTAATGAGACAATTTTAATCAAACTGAACTGTAATGACACTGGGCCGTCTTCATTTCAAAAGAAATTTCACGGTGGGATTTATGGTTCTACAGCTAAGCCTTTTTGCTCTGTTTTAATTGCAGCTAAATAGTAAA